CTGATCCTACCACTTTTCTTAACCACCACTCCACTCCGATGTCCTCACTCTTCGGATTGCAGCTTAAATTTTTCAGACAATCATTATAATCCCTCTCTAGCATGAACCTTCCCTTCTTTGTCTCACTTCATTCATCACACTTCCGAGTAAAGCTGCAGCCTTAAATCCTGCTCGCTGCCCACTCTACACCATGCCATAGGAACTATCGTCCTGCCTGCCAGTGATTATGCCAAGGTCAAAGCCAATCCCATCGTTTCTCTCCTACTCAAGGAATTTATTCTGGTAGTTGTCCCTTTCCTTTCCCAAATGGTTCATTTTCCCCTTTCTAACAAAGTGCGTGTTTAATGTAAATAAAGGCCCAGTGTTCCCAAATGCACTACCCTATTGTTTTGCATGCCTTTGCAGTAGAAGTTCTTAGAAACGCCGTCTGTGCACACTACATGTAATTGCTTTTCAGGGCTTCATCCTCCCCATCCCACTGAAACTGCTCTTCAGTGATCTTCATGTTGCTAAACCCAATGCTCAATCATCAATTCTCACTTTTGAACCTATCAACCAGACTTCCACAACCGATCACTCTCTCTGCCTTAAAATGCTCTCTTCATTCGACCTTGAAGACACCCAATTCTCTTGATTTCTGCTCCCTCCCTGGTTGGTCTTTCTGTCTTTTCTACTGATTCCTCCTCTTCTTCTGAACCACTTAACTTGAAGTGCCCCAGACTTCAATCCCTGTTCTTTTCTTGTCTATCTTCTCATTTGTTGACCTCTTACAGCTAAATAGTTTGAAATAACATCGATGACTTCAACTCTGAAATTTACATCTTTAGTCCAAATCTAAGCCCAAATACCAAAATCTCTGATTTGCCTTTTGGAGTGATAAACTGAAGTCTTGACCTTCCCTGCTAAAGCTGCTCTACCTATCATCTTTCTTTTTTACTCAAAACCAATTCATTTCCTCCAGTGGTCCAGCTAAAAACCAGTCACCCTTGACTCCTCTCTTTCACTTCCCACAGGAAGTCTCCTGGTGCAAACATCAAAATATATCCAGGAGCTAAACAGTTCTGGCCACTTCCATACCACCTTTCTTCCTCGAACTGTATCTTCTATCACCTGGGTTACTATAATACTCTCATCCTTCCATCTTTGCTCTCCTTAAGTATATTCTCAGCATAATTACTGCAGTGATCTCTTTAAATCCACATCAGGGAGTCAGCAGGTGGCACAGTGGTTAAGACGCTGGACTCCCACATGGTTGACCATGGTTCAAGTCCTGGACCCAGCGGCTTGAAACTTACACTCAGCGCATGTGCTTGCCTGCTCATAATCCTGAGAAAAGAATAAAAGAAAAGGGATTGCAGCATGGCCATCCACAGGGGGTGATTTCTCACTTTGTATCTCTCTGTCTCTCCAGTGAGTGTAAGTGCCCTATCGGGGAAAAAAAAAAAAAAAAAAAAAAAAAAACCTCTCACAAAATAAAGAAGTCAAAGCATATGATTCCTCTGTTATAACACTCCCAGGTTACCCACTTTACTCAGAGAAAAGTCATATACTTAATTATGGTTCACAAGGCCCCAAGACCTGCTCCCCATTTCTAATAGAACCTCATCCCTTTCCTCTCACCTTTCCCTCCTTCAGGCCTCCTTGCTATACCTTGAAGAGTCCAGACATGGTCCCATCTTAGAGTTTCTGCAACGGATGTCCCCCTGGCTGGAAAGTGCTCTCCCCAGAAATCAAAGTGCCTTACTACCTCCCTGCTTCAAGTCTTTGCACGACGTTGCCTTTGCAATGATGCTTATCCTGACTTGCATTTAAAATGGGGTCCCAACCTCTGATATTCTAGACCAGTAATCCTCTGCTCTGTTTTTCCTCCTTGGGATTTATCACCTTCCAATATAATATATAATTTACTCATTTATAAATTGCCACTCACCACAGAATGTACTCTCTAAGAGAAGAGTTTTCTTTTATTAGTTTCATTCACCAATATATCCCAAATATAAAGACATGTGCTGGACGCGTCATAGATGGTGAATAAATATTGCTTGACTGGAGCCAGCAGGTGGCGCAGTAGTTAAGGTACTGGACTCTCAGCCAATCTCAGTTCCAGTACCAGACCTAGACCTGGGCATGTGTACATATGTGCTAAAATCCCAAGAGGAAAATGGAGGAGATGGGACTGCAGTGTGGCCATCCTCCTTCAGGGTGGGGGAGATTTCTCACTTTCCCTCTCTCCGTCTCTCTCCGGCAAGTGCTTGAATGGGCCAGTCCCATGGTGTAGCAGCTAAGCACTGTGCAAAGAGAGCCAGACTGCACATGGCCAACTGTGGTTTCAGTCCTAGCCCTGATGGCATACGTGTGTGCATGCCCCAGATCCCAACGAGATGGAGAGATGGTGGAGGAGAGATTCTGAAGTGACCACTCTCACTGGGGGAGTGCTTGTTCTCTCTCTGCGGAGAGTGCAATGCACCACCTGGTCACAAATGTAAGTATATTGCTTTAGTCAATAAATGAAAACGATTTTACCACAGATAATAGGGAAGTACTGTGCAGTACTTAATATTTATCATTTTCTCCTATTTTGACCCAAATTAGATATAGTTGAAAAGACCCAAAAGGATGACTCATCCTGACAGAAATTATTATATTACTTGTCTCCATACATTTTTTGGATTTTAATAAAATTAAAATGATAAGTTAACACATGGGCCTTAACACTCTTTGAAGTATAAGGCATGCATACATATGCACAGAGAGGGAGAGAGATTGATCTAGGAAGCTGACTAAACAACCCTAACTTTGGTTACATATCTGAATTACCTGGATTCTTCATAAAAATACGTAACTGCTGGTCCAACTCAACAGCACATTTCCTTAAAGCACTCTTACACAGACACATTCACCACTCAAGAGTCAGTGTTGTAGTTGACGCTGCATTAACTAGGAATGTAGAATACTTGGCTGTTTTTCCTACTCTTAAATAAGGTTTAGGCGAAGTTCTCACAATTTTTCATGATACCAAGGTTTAATTGAGAGTTCTTTTGATTCTTACAATACTCAACTAAATTTCTCTTGAAATTTTATACCACTTATAAAGAAAGAATACCAAGAGGACAGACTTTTGTTCACAAAACAACGTGTAAACAGTAATTTCAGGAAAAATCATTTAAGCTTTAAAATTTTTAATGTTTTTAAGTAAAATGAAAAGTAATAATCTACCTATTAATTGAAAATATTGAATTATACAAAGACTTTATTGGTATACATGGGATCATTATTAAGTTTTAAGACCTGTACACTACAAATATTTCTACTTACTTTATAAAACATGTAATAAAATATCATTTATTGGCATCACTTTGGGGTATGCCTTCTCCAATGTATAAAATGTAAATTTTTACTTTAATTGCATGCATTATAGTATTCCTTATTACTTAATGTAAACAATTCCACATCCACATGGCAACAGGAAAAGATTATAAACCACTCTCCAAGAATAGAAGATTTACTAGCTCAAGTTTCCAAAATTAAAGAAAAAAAAAACAAATTTAGAAGCCCCTCTGAAAGGATGCATATGCCAGACAGTTATCAAGAATCATAAAGCAAGAAAACAAGTAAGAATTGGACCTTCGGAACATAGAACAGGACTCTTAAGGCAGGACTGTAAAGGAAGGCAAGGAATTCTAATCCACCATTCACAGAGTAAAGTGTAGATCAGCATGGCTCAACTAATTACAAAAGTATCAACAACAAAACTGTCAATAACTACAATAGTTCAAATATCAATTTCTACATTTATCACATTTTAAAATATAGCTTTTTCCCCCCATGAAGATATTTGATTCCATTTAATGATCAAATCATACTATTCAGAGCCATGTAACTTAGAATTCACTAAGCTATCATGGATAGTGTCTGACACATTGCCATGGTTCTATCTATAGACTACATCCGCGGTCCTTGGGAAAAGCCCAGGACATAGCTCCTGCTTCTTCACCCTCAGCACTACTGACGTTTTGAACTGAATCATTTTTTTGCTGTGAGTGTGAATGGAAGGACTTTTCTGCTCATCACAGAACGTTCAGGAGCACTGCCACCCTCTACCCACTAACAACCAACAGCACATGAGCTGTGGAAACCAGAGCATGTCAGGAGACACTGATTAATGGCACGTGGAGGGCAAAACTGTCCTTCGATGAGAACCACCAATACAGATAAGAGGTGAAAAGAGAAGGAGGGAGGGACAGACGGAGGGAAGGAAAAGGGGGGAAGGAGACAGGGAGGGAAGGAAGGAGTTACAATAAACATTCTCAAACTTAATCAAACTGTGTAAAATAAAGATGAATTTCAAGTTGGTAAATTTGAATGTACCTATTGCAATAAACACTGCCAACCTCCAATAAATAAGATTCTACTGTTTTGAAGAAAAAAATAAATAATTAATAATAAATAGCTTCCTTTTTATTTCTTACTTCTATCTTTGTTTTAGAGAGATTTTTTTTGTTATAGGATATGGGCACTCTCCAGAGAGACAGAGACAGAAAGCAAGATCCCCCAGTGACAATGGCCACACTGCAATCCCTTCTCCTCCATTCTCCTCTTGGAATTTTGGGCACACACGCGCAAGTGCCTGGCGTGAGTTTTAAACTGCCGGGTCTAGGACTTGAACTAAAGTCGACATAACTATTACACCATCTGCTGGTCCCACTTCTATCTTAAGAATAAGACTCTACCTTCTGGTCTCTCCCAGGAATAAAAACAATTGCAGTCTTTCCTGTTGGTTTTGAAGGTGAAAGAAGAGTGTACTCCTCTAACTTTATCAGTGGTCTCTGAAAGTGCTCTCTAGGTGACCTTAGCTAACTGACAAGTTTATTTTGCATTTACAGACAAGTTTAATAGGACCTGCACGTTAACAAGAAAATAATTCGTTATAGCAAATTGGAATTAATTTTTATATTCACTTACTGCCTAAACACTACTCTTTGGACTACTGTTTCACTTACCATGGACGTAACGGAGCGCGCGTCTTCTTCATAATTCACTACCGGTGGTGGCTCTTTCCCATCATTTTCTTGCACTTTTTGCTCGAGCAGTTCTTTCTGGGCTGCAAACTTTGCTTCAGTGCATCTCAGTTGCTGGACTGACTGTTTCAGCTCTTCAAGTGTTTGTTTTTGGCTTAGTAGAAGCACAATACTAAAAGAGAAAAGAAAATTTATATATATATATAAATATTTATATAAAAATATATATAAATTATTTCAGCTTCTTAAAGGAATAAAGACATTTAAGGAAACTAGATAGATAGATATAGATTATCTTTTAATTTGCTTTCATTTTCTTCTTTATAAGAGTCCTTCAGAATCACAAGAAATTAGAGAGATTTTGAGTCATTAAATGTATTAAATGTTTGCATAACAAAATAGAAGGAAATGTTTAGAAGTAAAAGTCAAATGCAAGATGCTTTCAAATATACTATGACCTATGACATTCACTTTATTTTAGAACTAAGCCATCTACCTCACAGAGTAGAGACACTTAGGTACAAAGTATGGGACCTAAAATGAATTAAAATGATAGAAGCAGCATCTTTAATGGATTCCAAATCTCGAAGATCATATAGTGTGTGCCTAAGGTAAAACGAACCAACTCAAGGTGACAGCCGGACACTCAGCTGGGTGGATGCTCTATGAGATGGGTGTCTAGAGTTAAAGCATGCTGTGACAAGGACTGTGGGCAGAGCGGTGGCTGACGGAATGAGCACGATTTAAGTCCCCAAATAGTCCCAGGATCAGCAACATGAAGACAGTAGAGAGCCCCCGCCCTCCTTCGGAGAACCGAGAAGGCCACGTGTTACATTATCGTGACTTCTTAACCACCGGATGCTGCCCTCAGTGGGAGTCCGAACTAATTCAGCCACAGGAAAGCCACAAGAAGACAGATAATGGTGGCTGGAACACCCCTGGAGACCCCCATATACAGTATGTGGGTGTCAGGAAAGCCATGACATATATCTCTATGCAAAACGCATCATGAGTCTCCTGACCACCAGATATATTAAGATCTTAAGAGATCGGCACTATATGCCGCTGATGGTAAATTATTACTACGTGAAAGACAACAGAGTATACACTAGGGAAAGCTTCCGATTGGGACAGTAAGGTCAGAAAATGCTCCTTTTTAAACTGACATTCATAAGGATCAGTATACACTGAATAAGTATTTCTATTCTGGAAAAACCCACAGTAATATTTATTTATAAATATGTTGATTCATATTTTAAAACTTATGTTCCTATCTAACTGAGCAGGGTGCAACCTCAGTGACTGTGGTCTCAATTATACTGCAACAAGTTTCAGGGGAATATACCCACAAAAAGAGATCAAAGAGGGGCACAGGAAGAGCAGAACTGATGACAAGAATATCTGTAGGAGACCTAGCAGTGTCCAAATGACAGAAAACTCTAGCAGAATTCAATAAATGGTGATTATCATGTATGTCCGTCATCATTCAACAATCCGTTGGCCTTCCTTCTAAATCCATACAGATTTTCTTGATAAATTCATGCTACTTTGCTAATTAGTTGGTAGCTCCTTTTTTATGAAGACAAATATATAGGGAACATATCTTGGAAAAGATTAAATCTACTATGTACTTAAAACTTCCGGAGAATTTCTTATTTAATAAATAAAGAAAGAGAGAAAGAAGGGAGAGAGAAAGGGAGAGATAGATGACAGAAGTGTAAGTAAAATCAAGAAATAAGATAGTGCATTTTCAGGCCCAGCTGTGGTGACTCAGGCAGGGGGGGAGCTGCCGTTTGCTGCTGGAGACCATACGCAGAGGATCCAGGTTCACATCCAGGTTCTACTGGAACATGCTAGGCAGGCCCAAAGGTACCACTGTGATCCTGGTTAGCTGCAGGGCTGGGAACAATCATGGTATGAAGACCCTATTGAGTTTGCCTGTCTGTATGTCTGTTTCTCCTTCTCATAAGAAGAAAATAAATAAGCAAATAAATATACATTTTTATGGACATCTGGAAGATCAGTCAAAAAAAGATGAATGAGAAAAAAAAAGTGGGTTAAATCAACAAAGAAGAATACATGAAAATAATTGTACTCTAAAATCATAGCCTTGTTACCAGCAGGCTTTTACAAACTTATTAAGACTGATGAAAAAAATAATAAAAGAATAAAAGTAAACTTTGTGAGGCCAACAGGTGACAAAGCAGTTATGGCACTGGACTCCCACATGGCTGACCACGGTTCAAGTCCTGGACCTGGTGGCTTGGAAAATCACACAGGGCACATGAGCATGCATGCTCAAAATCCCAGGAGAAGAATAGAGGAGAAGAGAATGAGGTGTGGCTATCAGCCCGGGGGGTGACTTCTCACTTTCTCTCTCTCTGGCGAGTACTCAGGACCTATGACAAAAACTTAAAAAAAAAAAAGTTTTGTAAAAATGAAATATGAAACAAGGCATACTCATTGCAGAAATAAGCACATTTAACTAAACACCCAAATATAATTGAAAAATTATTTATTTACGGAGGTAAACAATGCACATTTTAATCTCTCTTAAAATTTATGGAAAGCTGAATAAATGCCCCCCCAAAAGATGACCACATCCTTACCCCCAGAACCTGTAGAATATGTTACCTTACACGGCAAAGGGATTTTTCAGATGGAGAGATTATCCTGGATTAAACGAGTAAACCCAATGTAATCATAAGCATCCGTGTAAGAGGGAGGCGAAAGGGACAAAGTCTAGAGAGAGACGTGACCGTAGAACGCAGGAGAAGACCGAGCAATGCAGGGCCACGGATGGAACAGGATCGCCTTGGACACCGGGAAAGGCAGGGCGGCAGCGTCTCCCTCTCCTGGAGGCTCTCAGAAGAAACCAGCCCCTCCGACATTGAGGCTTTAGGCCACAAGAAGTCATTTCAGACTTCTGACTATACTGTAAGTGCATACATTTGTGCGGTTTTGGGGTATTATGTTTCTGGCACTTCGTTATAGCAACAAGAGGAAATTAATACAATTGCAAATAGAAATCATATCCATTTTAGGTTCGTTTAAAAGAATAAAATCACTACAGAAATATAGTGTTCAAATTATTATATTTAATTTCAAGTTCTACACACACACACACACACACACACACAGACATAATATAGTTTGGAGAAAGTGATCTATTTCTAAAAACGACCTCTTGTAGTATTTCCAATCTCTGCACATTAGTATTATTTTACCTTTATTTGAGTCTGGATTATAAATGAGATCTAAAATGATCCTAAAACACTTACATAACTAGAAGAATCACCAATGCTGTCCTATAACTACCACCTACATTCTCTCACCCTCACTGAAGACCCAAGTGGAACCTACCAATTGGAATTGTTACTTGAAGATCTGCTCATGGAGCGCTCTACTGCCAGGAGAGTCTTCCTCTACAAGACGCATGCCCTGGTGTTTCTGCTCCTAGGACCGTGCGAGATCCAGTTCTTAGGACTGTTCTGAGCCCTTCTACCCACTTCCCTTGCCTTCCTCCACCCAGGCGCTCTGGATCTTCCTGATGTTAGTTAGTCCTGCGGTTACTCACACACATATGCCAGAAGTCTGTGGGGACACACTGCCACCCAGGATGCTGGAAATGCTGTCTGTTGGGTTCCGTCATCGCTCCTTCTACTATAGCTGGGACTCTAGACCCAACCTTTGTAATCGAACTGTCTGATCATGGAATCTGTGAGCCAAATTGGCTTCTTCAATTAATCCCACTAAGCCTTATGCATAATAATATGATGTTATAAATATTAAGATGTTGCTTTTGTTCGATAATTACTTAAAAAAAAAAAAAAGTACAGCTATTGGGGCCAGTAGGTGGCACGGGTGAAGGCGCTGGACCTAGTGGCTTGCTTTTCGTTCTCTCTTTTTCTCTCCCTGACAAGCACACATGCCCTATAGCAAATTAAATTAACATTAATAATAATAAATTAAATAAATAATACTTTTAAAAATGTATCTTTATTTTTAAAAGTACTGCTTTCATCACTATAAATCTACAAGCTTATAAAACCATTGAGCAAAATGCTACATATATTTCAGCAGAAAATTCCAGTAAACACATTATTATTTAATACAAGATATGTAAGAAGATGTAAATTTAGAGCACAGGAGAGTCAAGGCCCTTGCATATGCTACTATCTCTGAGTACTCATTTATGTGCTTTTCATATGCCAAATACCTTATATTCTTCAGCTCTGGGCCAGCAGATAGCACAGTAGTTAAGGTGCTGGACTCCTACCTGGTCGATCATGGTTCTAGTCTCGGACCCAGAGACTTGAAACATTCCAGGCACATGTGCATGCATGCCCAAAATCCCAAGAGGAGAATGAAGGAGAAGGGATTGTGGGTGGCCATCCCCCTAGGGGATGATTTCTCACTCACTCTCTCTGTGGGTGTCTCTCTAGCAGGTACATGTGTTCTATGGCAAAAAAATCTGAAAACTAAAATAAAATAAAAATGCCAGTTCCCATGAGACCCCTGACCACCTATCTTCACTAGCTGCTCTTCTGTTATTCTTCCATCTGAAGCCCTGTTTCCTGTTGACTTCTTTCTCCACAATTTTCACAATTGGTAAATATTTTTATCTTATAATGATCTCCTCCATGAAAGTATAAGCCTCTGCAGACATCTGACCACATCTGCCTTCTCTCTCACTGTAGTCACAGCAGCCAGGAGGTGTGTGTGTGTGCCAAACCTCACTAATGACTCGTTACTTTTTAAGAGGTTTTTGCCTTAGGGTGTGTGTGCTCACTGGAGAAAGAGAGAAAGATGGAGCCAGTGAGAGGGAATATGAGAAATCCTCCCCAATGGGATGGCCATGCTGCAATCCCTTCTTCTCTATTCTCCTCCTGGGATCTTGGGCAGGCACACACACATGCTCAGGTGATTTGCAAGTCCCCAGGTCCCGGATTCAAACCATGGTCAGCCATGTGGGAATCTAGTGACAACCACTATGCCATCTGCTAGCCCTGAATCCTCTATTTCTATAGCACATTTTTTGTAATTGTGTGTGTGTATATAGACACACACACACACACAAATATACACACACACACATACATAATCTAAATGCAAAAATACTGAGCCCCAAAAAAGGAAGGTCCCTGAATTTGAAGACTAGAACACTATTCTAAATAATTCAAGACTTAAAGTTTTACCTTTACCAGAAGGTAGATAGATGTGACATTTTGCAAGCCTCTTAAAATTTCTGGGCCTCAGATGTCACATAATTTGAAAGGTAGGGAGGCTGAATCAAAATATTTCTTAAGATACTTCATGATTCTAAGAGTTGCGATTTTAAATTATACAGGATATTTTTAAGAACTATGTGATAATGGTATAAAATAAGATTAATACAAAACTGAAAATCGTTTACTTTTTGAAAAGCAAACCAAGCATTCAAAGCAACAGTAATATTACTAGCTCTTTATGCCATTAAGTCATAAATGACATATGCTTGGTATATTTTCCACAAATTATTTTCTAACACTGTGGTCAAGGATCATAAATCAAGAAAAGATTAATATAATTTCCATGTGAATAAATGTTCTTTAGAAGTAATGAGTTAAGATATGTATACTAGAGTGAAGAGTTGTTTTACACTGATATTATACCTTTTCAAGTGGTTGCTTTTTTCCCTTCATACTATTTTTTAAGATAAAATCCTGTAGCACCCACATTTCAACCAAGACCTGCATTATTTATGTAAGATCTGCTCTTTTTAGCGTGAATTTAAAATCACACAAAACCATTCTTTACATTTATTTTCACTTCATATTAAATTATACAAATCAAAATATCAAATTTCAATTAAGAAAACAGAAGGCAAAGGCAAGAGTCGAGGGAAAGCACAGAGATCCAAGCAGGGTTATTTGGGGTGGGTGAGGAGATGGGCATTGTTTTTAGGAGTCAAAAGCTAAGTATAAAAAGTGAGCACAGGAACCTAGTTGAGAAGAACATAATACAGAAGACACTGTAAAATTTTGGGGAAAGTAAAAGGGGGAAAGTATAAAGACAGGCACAAGAAGTGGACTTTGAATAAGGAGCAGGCCTCTGTCGAAATCAGGAGAGATGATGAGTACGGATGTGGGTGGGCCTGCTGTCTGGTTTCAGAACACAAGAAAGCTGCTACCTAACACTTCTCATTTTATCTGGGATGCGGAAACCAATCTGCTGACTGCGATGAGGGAGAAAAGGAAGATCAAAGATTTGAGAGATGCGGAGAACATCTGAGAAGCTGTGCTGAAATTAAGAGCTAGTACAGGCCAGAGAGAAGTCCCACGCATCTCTAGTGCCCTGAGAGTCTTTGTGTTGTTGTTGTTTTCCTTGTTTTTAGCTTTCTGCCATACAGTGTGTGTCCTCAACGGAGAGGGGAGAGGCAAGAGAGGCAAAGTGAAAAAGCAATCCACAGAAGGGATGGCCACGCCACAATCCCTTCTCCTCCATCTCCTCTCGTGGTTTGGAGCATGCAATGCAGCTGTCAGCATCTGGGACTCGAAACCACAGAGTCGGCATGTGGGATCAGTGTCTTAACCACCACATCACCTGCTGGCCCTGGTCTGCCTTTTTTTCCCTTTCTCTCTTTCTCTCTTTCTCTCTCTTCCTTCCTTCCTTCCTTCCTTTCCTTCTCTCTTTCCTTCTTTCTTTCTTTTAGGTTTTTGCCATACGATGCATGTACTCACTGTAGAGAGGCAGAAGGACAGAGAGAGGGAAAGTGAGAAATCAACCCCCGAGGAGAGGGGAGGAATGGCCCCAGGCAATCTCTTCTCCATTCTCCTCCTGGGATTTTGACCAAACACATACACTTGCCTCACATGATTTTCAAGCTGCTAGGTCTGGGACTCAAACCGCAGTCATACATGTCGGGGTCCAGCGCCTTATTCACTACGCCACCTGCTGGCCCCAGATTGCCATTTTCTTAGCAAAGGACATCGGAGAGTGTCTGGTGAAAGTGGATGTGAAGAAGTAAAGATAGCTTTTAACAGAGGATCTTTTGGTAAACAGTTTAAAACTGTTCAAATACGGAGACATGACAGTATATTTTATTTATGAAAACACAATGATTTCTTCAGAGGAAACTGTGTTTACAAAAATACAGGATCACTTCTCTAGAGTCCTAAAAATTAATTCGATTATGTCAAGTTTTATATTCAAAATGAAAACTTCAGTCTCCAGAAATATGTCCATAATACATGATACTGTGTACTGAAGTTATTTCCATCAAATTCCATGAGCAGAACTTCATTCCCTCAAAAAAAATTTTTTTTAACTCACTCAGACTTCTTTTCACAGGTCTTAGAAGATTCTTCAATTCTCTTCTCTAGCTCCAGGGCAGCCTCCTCCTTGTTTAGAAGCATCTGCTGGGTCTGCATAAGTTCTTCTGCTAAAGTTTTCAACCTACGATGAGCAGTTGCACCGTTATCAAACAACACATTAATTACATCCGCTTTACACGTACCAAAAAAGCATTCACACATCTAAGGTTGTGATGCCCTAAATAATAGCCACATGTAATTTCATTTCGGTTCAGTTAAAATAAAATGTCAGCTCCTCAGTTGCACTAGCCACATTTCAAATGCTGAAAACAAAAGGTGGCTGGTGGCTTCCCTGTAGATGGTAGGAAAAGAACCTATCAATCAGTGAGTACCCTTGGGCAGGTCCAGTCTAGAGTCCCATTGCATGAAGTAGCAAAGAGACACAGGAATAGAAAGCAGGCAAAGAAATGAGGGCGGACCTACTGAGTGCCTGTCCCAGCCCGGAAGGAAGGTGCGGTAAAAAGACCACGCCTTCCGTTTGCAGACAGACCTGTTTACAGGGGATGGCGCTGCTCCATTGCATCTGAGATCCTGCAACTTCTTAACCTCACTGAAGTTATTTTCGTGTTTATGATTTTCATATAGTAACATGTGCCTCATAGAACTGCTTGGAGGATCAGAGAACTAACGTATATACCGTGACTGGCCCTTGGTAGGCACTGAGTAAATGGCATTATGGGAAACTTGCCGTAAACTAGTCTTCTCTGCAAGCGCTTTCTCATTAAATCTTCACAACAATCTTATAAATCACAAACTATTATATTTATTTTAAAGAAAAGAAAATCAGGGGCCACCAGGTGGCATGGTGGCTAAATAGCTGGACTCCCACATGGCCAACCACAATTCCAGTCCCAGACCTGGTGGCTTACTTTCTTTCTCTTTCTCGCTTTCTCGCTTTCTCTTTCTCTCTTTCTCGCTTTCTCACTTTCTCTCTCTCTCTCTCTCTCTCTCTCTCTTTCTCTCTCTCTCTCTCTTTCTCTCTCTCTCTGGTGAATGCATGTGCCCTACAGCAAGTTAAATAATAATAATATAATTTTAAAATAAAAAATTTCTAAAATAAGGAAAGTATGACTCAGTTGTGTGGCAGTATGAGTTAAGAGTAAATTATTTGTTTAAACAGACTGTAGTAATAGTTTAAGAGACGTTTCTTTATAGATTTGAAGATAATTTAATATGCAAAATAGTAATGCATTCACTGACCAAATGTTTTGTGTGTGAGAAATGCATTCAGTCCTTAATTTAAATCTTTCTACCACAAAAACACATATCACATTAAATTTTTTATCTTCAGCCTTCCAAAGCAAGACATGAAATCCAAATAATATAAAAGAAATAATAAATATGTTAACCCTACACAAATTTAATTTTTTTTTATAGACCAGAGTATATTTTTAACACCCATCATGCCATGAATTGATTAGGAATAGGTCCCAGAAACTCAGGCTCTTTTCCATTGGTTCTCACAGAGTGGCTTCTCTGGGTGGAGCAAGCTGGCACTTCAGTTGAACCCAGGTCCCTTTCTCTTTGACTTCCTTCTTTTTCTGGTCATTTTCCTTCACTTATGTTAGGAACTATCTCTGCTCTTAGAATGCTCAATATGCACATTAATTCTCTCAGCAAGAATCGTGCCCTTAACTTGTTTGTTTACAACAATGCCAACAGCATGCTGGGTAACACTGTACACTCTTCCAGTTTTGCCATGGTCACATTTGTGGGCATTCCGTTTTGCACAGTACTCATTCCCTCAAGGTCTGCAATATCACCTTTCTTGTATGTAAACTGCCAAAGAAACCAGTCCATGTTTTCTAAAAGTCCTACAGAACATGCATCAGGTGCCTCTCCTCTTTCCCTTTGTAACCATCATTTTGCTGAATTACTGGAAGATGGAGATTCCCCCAAATCTTAAATTTAAGTTAAGGAGATCATAAATAAAAGCCAACTGTGAAAAAATACATATTTGCAGTACACATTACAAATAAAAGTCTCATTTTTTCTTTTTTAATTGCCGGGGGTACATACATTTGACAGAGGGAGAAAGCATCACCCAATAAGGCACTGTCACACTGCAACCTTTTTTTCCTCCCATCAGAATTTGGGGCACACATGCACACATGTCAAGTCACTGGGGCTGGGTTAGAACCACAGCCACAAGAGATCTGGCTCCCTATGCGTATCAATTAACCACTGCAACATGGGTGGCCCAAACAAAACCTCTCTTAATGCTCAAAATTTCAAAAGAAAAACTGAAGGCCTACCATGCAAACAGATAAAGAGCACACCTGAAAGGAGGGCCCTAGCACAGTGCCTAAGGGAGCTACATTCCACGTGGTCTACTGCAGTTCGAATCCTGGTCCCGATGGCTTCAGAAACACCCAGGACAGAAAACCTGGACCTGCCCTGACAGTAAGAAAAAACTGGAAAAAACCTAAAGCTCCATCAGTAAACAGATAAATTAAATAAATAATATTACATGCAAGCAGTAAAACAGTGCTCACCATTAAGAAGATTTCACGTATGTTAGAAAAAAATCTTGACACAAAAGCATATGCATAGGATAATGATTGATGGTAAATAAATAACTGATGATAAATAAATAGAAAATGATGATAAAGAAAATAATTTATACTCATGTACATGCTTACATACACATTCTGGAAAGATACAAAAACGTTTTTCACAGGTTAGCCACAGAATGGAATAAGGGGGTCTACAAAAAAAAAAAAAAAAACAGAAAGAAAAATACTGATTCTCTTTTTTTGAAAAAAATTTTGCCAGAGGTCGTGTATACTTGCACACTGGAGAGACATAGAGAAAGTGAGACCTATCCCTGTGGGGACAGCCATGTCACAATCTGCCCTCCTCTATTGCCCAGCCTTTAGGGACCTGGGGCACACATGCCCTCATGCCTGGGATGCTTGCAAGCCACTGGGCCCAGGAATCAAACCATACAGTGAGTCATGTGGGAACCAGCTGGCTTTACCACCACACCACAGGTTGGTTCTTGATTTTCACTGTATAATCTTTTGTAATACTTTGTAAATTTTACTCCCACACACATTAGTTATTTTTTAAAGATTTAGTCATATTTAAAGATGTACATGTCTGAAACACTTTATTGTGGATAATAGCAAGTTTTCCATATTTACACAATACTTTTTATACCTTCAACCAACTGGTATCATTATCTACACCCAACGGAACTCTTAAAGAGATCCAACTGCCTCAAAAATTATAAATGACTTGTCAAATAAATCATCTTAACCTTTATTACTCTCATGAAATTTCCAATACTGTCACTTTTGTGACATTTGAGTTAATAAAAAAAAAAGTTAATGGGATAAGGTTACAGTTGCCTGAAGTGACTTTTCTAACATCTATTTTTCTCTATTACTGCAACATAAATTGAAGAAATAAGCTCTTTCTTGACATTTCCTCCTCAAAATGCAAAAGCAGCAGCAAAGCATTTAATGGAGGACTTTTGCTACCATGACACAGATCTTCACGAGCTTTTCTCAAGACCAAACAGAAAGTGGCCCAGAATCAACCAAGCACAAGTTACAAGTTCCTGTTAAGTACATCCACCTTTTAACACTCACAGCCAACTGGAGGACTTCACCTGCTCCCTTCCATACATCTTGTTTCCCTCAACAAACCGTCCTCCTAGCCTGTCATCTGTCTTCTAATAGTCTACATTTTCTCCACAACTTTGCAATCACTCACTCCAAGAATATACCTCTAACATACACGAACAAAATTCTAATACATGTTCAACCAGAAACCAAACTTGAGCTGAGACTAAATTTAAAAAAAAATTAAAAAAATAAAACATTTGATTAAACTAAGGTTCTATTTAAAAGGTAAGCACGCACCACAGTATCTGACACTCCTTTGAATACAAGGTAGACTCACACAGCTGGACCGATTGAATTGGTATCGAGATCTACAACAGGAATGAGCATTTTCTGCAACGGTCTGGAGTGCGAATACTTAGGTTTCACCACCAAAGGCAAAATCAACGAAATTATGGACAAGAAGAAAGAAAACGCACATCCCAAAAGTGACTGGCAAATCAGAAATATTGTAATTGGGTACAAGTTATCATAATACCGGTTTATTCATGAGAATGATGGGAATCTTCTGAGGGTGATAATACATCCCTCCACTGGGGCTCAAACTTCATGCTTATCATCAAAACCAACTGTAAGGATTCCCCTGAAATGAGATTTCACATATTTCTTCTTTGTAATGTCTTTCCACACAGACTGCTACTGCCAAATACCATATTAATCCATGAGCATATGATTTTAGTGAACTATCCTCAGCCCTTAGAAGACAGAGTAGATCACAGCATCAAGATCCCAAGGCGGGGGCAGCAGGTGGTATGGTGGTTAAGGCACTGGACTCCCACCTGGCTGACCTGGGTTCAAATCCCAGACCGCAAATGGAAAATAAGACCAAGCATGAGTGCATGTGTGCCCAAGAGCCCAGGAGAATGGAGAAGAAGGGATGGTGGCATCACTATCTCTCCTGGAGGGTGATTTCTCTCTCTCTTGCCCCCTCCCCCTCTCTGGTGAGCGTACTAGCACTATCAAAAAAAAAAAAAAAAAACCCTAAAAAAGATCCCTGTTGGGAGTGCTATTTTTCTCTCTCTCTGCCTCACTCATGGAAGAAACAAATAACACATTTTTTAAAAGAATTATTTAACTTTGTTATTATCATGTTAAGTTTGCTGTAGGGTTTGTGTGCTCACCAGAGATAGAGAAGAGGTGGTGGGAGTAAGAAAGCAAGCCTCCAGGTCCAGGACCCAAGCTCTGGCTGGTGTAGTGAGAGTCTAGTACTTTAACACGCCACCTGCTGGCCCCCTTAAATACATTTTCTAAAGGTATTTTTAAGGAAAAATCAGTGTCGCTGTATAGCAAGCACAAAGCTCTTCTCTCTAATTCAGTTACAAACCAATCCGCACTCTGCGGTGCCTTAACCGTGCAACATTCAAAGTCCACTCTCTCTCCTTTCTTATTTTGACACAAAGGGCGTGAACTAGGAATAAAGACGATGCTGCAGTGCACTGACATGCGTGGCGCT